CCTCTGGTGCAAATTACTGACCTCTGTCATCATTTTAAGTGGGGGAACTTGCACGATCGGTGGCTGACTAAATACTTTTTTGCCCCACTGCACATTTAAGAGATAAAACATGTGAGTAGTATTGTGTACTAGCACTGTTTTGGGTGTTACACCTTTTTATTCTCTTGACGTGCGTGTCTTTAGCAGGAGCCACTATCAGAGCAGAACTTTGACAGCTATGTGGACACCCTGACCCACATGTTTACCAACAAAGACTGCTACCAGAACCCCGAGAACCGGGCTCTGCTAGAGTCCATCAATCAGGCAGTAAAGGGCATCGAGGTGTAAGAGAAACTGGAGGATGACAGGTGGCAGGGCATCACGGTGACGCCACCAATCTTTTTTTCCAAACCCTTTAGATACTCTGTATCATGAGTTTTTCTCATTGGAGTTTTGTCCTCTGTTCTTTGCATTTGTTTCCTGTTTGCATGTTGCTTTATAAAGGTGTGAGCGTGAACAGATGTGTGGATGTAAAGCGTGTCAAGGCACACTGAAAGCAAACTGTTGCCATAAGCAACAGCACCTCAAGGTATACACAGACAGGCACAGAGAGAACAGAACAAAGGAGTGCAGTATCCCGCCTGAGCTGAGCAGATTCTTAGTTAGTGAACATTTCCCATCTCCACTCAGTAATGTTGATAGTATTCTATATGAGCATAGTGATGTTGCACTTCCAGGACTAGTTTGTAGATTCATTGTTACTATTGCTGTGTATCTATTTAAGTCGACTGCAAATGTTGGTTTAATAACTTATTTATTCATGTCTGCGGTAATATTTTTATGTTGACTATTTATTATTCATTATTGATTTGATTTGATTTCAAAGTGCTACCTGAGAAGATTTTAACCGGAAACTAAGAGAAGGGAGTCATTTCCTCTGCACCGCTTAACAAAGAGGAAATATTTTAAGATATCAACTATGAATTGTTTTATATATCTTATTATTTATTTAAAACACTGGGATCTTTTTAAGTGCAAATATTTTGTAACAGAAAGTTTTTTAATAATTTTCTAAAAAATCTTTTGTGCTTCTGTTTATATGAGTTTTCTTTTTTCCACAAGCTATTTTGAGTACATTGCAATACACTGGGAAAATTGAGCTGCACATATTTCAGTATTTATCTGGTAATGATGAACAAAGTGATGGTGAATATTTATTTTGTACTGTCTATGTGTTAATGATGGCTGTGTATGGATTAGTCTTTATGTTTGCTCTTGAAATAAAGGTCAACCCAAAATGAATATGGACTGGACTGAGTGTATGCTTCCAGGTCTTTTAGCAGTAAAACAGTCTTTTACTGCTAAAACCTCTTAAAGGTTCTGGAAAACCACAATCAGTGTTAGAACTGCCTGTGTGGTCAAGGTTTTGTGTAATTCTAGTATATGTCTGTGAAGGTTCTCAGTCATCCAAGTCATTGTACTCTAAGGAACTTTGAAAGAAAAGCGTCTGGACTTTTTACTTGCTTGAAGATGTTTCAGCTCTCATCCAAGAAGCTTCTTCAGTTCTAAGGTCAAATGGTGGAGTCTCAGATTTAAGCTCTATGGGAGTGTACCCCAAGAGGGACATGGACCCCCTATTGATCCTCTATAGCGAAGAACGCTCAGACCTCTACATTGGAGAGGCCAAACATCCATTTCATAAATGCATGACACAACATAGAAGAGCCACCTTGATGGGACAAGACTTGGCAGTCCATCTGCATCTAAAGGACAAAGGCCACTCTTTCAAGAATGCCAATGTTCATATTTTGGACAGAGAAAACAGGTGGTGTGAAAGAAGCCATCTATGTCCACTGTGAACAACCACCTTTGAAGAGGGGGCAGCTTACAACACAGTTTGCCATCTATCTCTCGTCTGATTACCGGTAGGTAGAGGATCAATAAGGGGCTCCATGAGCCTCTTGGGGACACTCCCATAGGGCTTAAATCTGGGACTCTCCACCATTTGACCCTAGAACTGAAGAAGCTTCTTGGACGAGAGGTGAAACGTCTTCAAGCAACTTAAAAGTCCAGACGCTTTTCTTTCCAAGCTCCTTGACTAATTCTAGTATACTTCCAATATTCTCTTGTATTCAGTTCAGTTTATTTTTATTCATACATTATCACTTCACAACAACCGTCACCTCAAGGTGCTTTATACTATATACAATATAAGAGAGATACCCCAACAATCGGAAAAACTTCCATGAGCAGCACTTTGTAACAATGGGAACGAATAACTGTTTTCTGTTGTTTTATTTGAACATGAACAGACTTTCTGCAGAACCAGACTCAAAGAGGGGCAGCCTGTCACTACTTTGGTGGGTTAAGAGAAAAACAAAAGGAAAGAGATGCAAGACCAAAACACAAGGAGAGAGAGGAGACAAACATTAATGACGTGTGGTAGTGACATATATAACCATCAGGATTAAATAGAGGTGAAAGGAGAAGAAATGTTCAGCGCAACAAGGAAAGTCCACCACAGTGCCTGTGCATAACCAAGTGACTTTCAAAGTAGCAAGGGTTTCAGCCAAAACCAAACTGGGAGCCTGGTAGCTGAAGGTTCTGCCTCACATTCTACTTTTAGAAATTTGAGGAAGCAAGTGCTCTGTCGGGGTAATACAGTACTAAAAGGTCTTTAAGATATCAGGTTTCATCATATCCTACGAAAGAAGGATTTTAAATTTTATTCTAGATACAAAAACCTGACCCCATGCGATCACAAGCTAGTGGTCCCAATCCTCAGGTAAATTGCACCAGGAACACTATCTAGAATAAAATCCAAATCAAACATACAGATCCATCTGATATAAATTTTATTTATATAGCACCAAATCACAACAACAGTTGCCTTGCGGTGCTTTATATTGTAAGACAGAGACCTTACAATAACAATACTAGAGAAAACAATCAAACGGCCCCCTGTAAGAAAGCACTTGTCAAAAGTGCGCTGAAAAAACTCCCCTTTAAACAGGAAAAAAACTTTTAGAGAACCAGGCTCAGGGAGGGGCAACCATTTGCTGTGACTGGTAGGGAGTGCAGGACAGAAGACAGGACAAAGACACACACTGAAAGAGAGCCAGAGATTAATAACTAATAATTCAATGCAGAGTGGTGTACAAAGACATGGTGAGTGAAGAAGAAACACTCAGTACATGATGGGAAACCCCAGCAGCCACAGCACAATTACGGGAGGATTCAGGGTCACCTACTGTAGCCTTAACTACATGCTATAGTCTGTTTCATTAGATATAATGCTTCCAGGTCTTTGACTTTGAAAGATGCCTTGAACAAGTGTCCAGGATTGTGTGGATAATGTGCATAGCAAAGAAAACATATGCACTGTTCTCTCATAACATTTCTAATAACACTACCTTAGGGGCCATGTACAGTGCAGAAAGTACATTATACAGATCCCAGCACAGAACGGTGTAGAAACCCACCACCAACTCTGGAGTATGAAGCAGACTCCTTGGTTATCCTTTAGCTACTGAAATGTGTGTATAGCTATTTATACTGATACAGTCTGACTGATTTATCAGTTTCTGTGCCTACAATTTATTTTAACGCGAAAAAAAAATACAAAAATGAATACAAATTCTGTCTCATATCACCAATCAGCTCTGACACTTCAAGGCACAGGGTCCCATTTCATGCTGGCAGCAGATCCTTAGGGTGCAGTTGGTTGCATCCGGTCTCTGGCTTGTTCCGGCACATCCCGTGGATACCCTGAAATCATTGTGTTCTTCCAGCCAGTCCTGTGCTGCTCCTGCCACGTGGCAGGTGCAGTATTTTAACACAGTCCCCATTGCTGGTAAAAACTCTGAAAGTTATCAAGGATTCAAATTTTAACAGCACATAACGTTCACTTTATTTGTTCTTGGTAATTAACTGTAACTACAAACTAGAACTCAACGGAATCATAAAATGAGTCAAAAAAAACAAACTGGTGATACAATGTCATTTACTCATTTTAATGGTTAAAAAAATACTTCTTTGCGCAGAGACAACAGTAATTCCCCGTTGACTGACAAACGGGACCAAAAAAAAATGATGGCCACCAAATGATAACAGGTGGAGCAAGATAAGATGAGGTAAATGTTTTTGAGGAGGAAAAAAAAGGCACAATTTACAATCAATCATGCCCCAATGCACAATAATAATAATAATGATAATAATAATAATAATTAATAATAATAACAACAACAATAACAACAATAATAATCAGTACAGCTCAAACAAAAACAGGAAATCTGCAACAATACAGACCAGTCATATTTTACAAGGCAAATGTTGACCATCTGGCTTCTCCTGTGTTCTCTACCATACTTAGGTTTCTGGCAACACTCTGAAAGCTGCGGCCCTGCTGCTCACACTATACAAACAGCAGTTCTACAGTGCACTGAAACTTCAGCATACTATCTGACCACCAGACATGACACACAGAGTTTGGAGGGCCCGATGCAATCATCATGGCAGAAGGCACCACAGCCTTGGCACATGATCATGGCTTTGAGGCGGCACGAGCACTTGAGTGCCACTTCCTCTGCCGTACTGTCAGTAAAGGCCTGAATGCTGAGGGTAGTCTGGCTGGGACCCAAGCGGGGGTGCAGCTGCAGCACACTGTCTGCCATGCTCCGGGAGAAACTGCTGTTGTCCATCACTGAAACATTGGCTGTGTAGCTTACCCCTCCAACTCCTCCACCCTGCTTGGGGAGCTTCCCATAAAGATGGAAGGGAAGGGAGGGAGCGGAGGGTGAGGGAGAACAGGAAGAAGAGGGAGAGCCAGAGGAGTAGGGAGCTTTGCTGTGATCTTTCTTTGCCATCCTGGCCAAAGTAAACTCCATGTTGATGAGTCCTTCTATTGCCCCGCCGCTTAGATAGCCATCGACAGAGTTCCCAGGTTCCTTTTTGGTAACACTTAAGGGTACACTGAGTGAGGATTTGGCAATAGCTTGACAAGAGGGTCGTGCACCAACTTCGTTCTTTACAGTAGGTGCAGGAGACGGGGGTTGTTGCAGAGAGTGAGGAAGCTGAGATTGTGGGGGACGCCAGTTAATCTTAATACAAGGTATCACCTCTGTTGGGCAGGGGTCTGCGTGAGGAGGAGAGGGTCCATTGCACATGGTCCGATGGGCTGACTGAGGCCTGTCTGGAGTGGCTCCCTGGGAAGGCTGCTGACCATGAGACTCTTTGATAACTGCAGACTCCACAGCAGACCCAGGCATGAGGTCTTGCTTACCTCTGGAGGACAATAAACCGCTGGAGGAGGGTGGCAGAGGGGTGATGACTGGAACAGCTCCAGGGGCCTGGGAGGACTGATACTGTGGTACAGCTGGGGCTTCCATCAGACAGGAAACTGGGCGGGATGTTGGGGACTTATGGATCTGGACTGGAGTAGTCAGCTCTGGGCTTGAAGATTTGGCTGAAACCTCCGGCCTGTTACGAGTCCCTGGGGTTCTTGCTGCTGGTGGCCTGGGCAGGGTTCCTGGTAATCTGCTAATCTCCAGTCTGTTGGCAGAGTGTAAGGGTAGAACTTTTTCCAGAGGCAGGCTGCCCTGAAGTAACTGAGTGACCAAAGGGTTGTTGGCCTCCACACTGGACACAAGTCTGACTGAACTGGCCAGTCTTTTGGAGGCAGATGCAGCATTTGAGTGAGTGGCAGGAGACTTTAAAGCTCCACGACACTCCTCTTCAGAGCTCAGTCTGGAGTCTCTACAGTCATCTCCAGACTCAGTTTTAACAACAGTTGTGTCCCTTAGCCCTTGTGGCAGGGGTGCAGACAGAGCATTAGAGTCTTGTGAATGGATACGGCTGTGTTGTGGCTGAGTCATGCTGCTGGGGAAGCAAGGCTGAATGACGGTCTGGCCATGGCGGCTAGTCATGTGGGTCTGGATGACCGGTTGTTGTTTCTGAGGAGGGCTACAAATCACCAGCTGGCCATTTCTCTGAGTGTTCAATTGAGGACACCATTCGTGGCCAGGCTGCTGCTCTTCCTCCTGGCTTTCATTCTCACAGTCTGAAGCGGTTTCTGTTGAGTCGCTATATGTGCCAGCCTCATCTTTCTCAGCACTAGAGGAATCCACATGTTGGGGTGAAGATCCATCTGATCGCTGTCTCTCAGTGGCTGTACGGGAGAATGCCTCCTGGGGGTCAACATGGTGAGAACCATGCTGGATAACACTACCCAATCCAGCCTCCTTCCCTTGCTCCTGGTCCTTGGCATGACAAGAACTGGCCAGCGTCTGAATAAC